TATATATATTTAAACAATGATTTGATATTATGTCAACCACGCATTTCTCAATAAAATAATATCACACAAATTTAAAACGTTTCGTTATTTTTAAATCACATATTTCTCATCAATACACTGTTCAAAAATATATTCTTATGCAAGTAATGTGGCTCAAACAAGAGCTATATTATTTATTTTCTTTTGAATAAGTCAATAATGGTTGAGATTGCTTTATCAACTATTTCAAAATTAGATCATATGATCCAAGTAGTGCGGAGTTGTCATGCCATTTCCTATCTATGGTCAATATTATTAATGAAATGAATATTGATTTTTCATTATTTGAAATGTAGATCTCCTTGAATCTTTGGGAAGTTTAGGTTGTTCTCTTCGTGTTTGAGTTTTTAGTTTTGAATTTTGAATTCATTTTAGATATTGGGTTTTGAGTGTTTCTTTTGAAATTGTTGAAAACACGTTCTTTTTTTCATTTTGAAAAAATATTTCTTAAAACATGAAAATCCAAAACACGTTTCTTTTCCATTCATTTTCCCTTCCCTAGCCAACACCGCCATCTTCTACCTGACAAACCGATCAACACCCACCACCTAGACCACCAGATCTCAGCATCACTCGTTTCTTGCACGATTCTAAGCTACATAATTATAAATTTTCTACGTGATATGTTTGGTCTAGAATAAAGCATGTGCATGATCTTGCTTTGTTATGGAAATTTGATTTTATATATGAAATATTCTAAGACCAATTTAGATGGAAAATATGTGATTTTCCAAAGTATGGCTTATTGCATTTTGATAAATGTTACTACATGTGGAAATGAAATAAATTGATTAGTCTCACTTCATTGTGACATTTGGGAATTATTCACATACATGGGATTATAATATTATAAGAATGCATTTGTTGAAAATGTTTGAATTTCCATTTCTTTGTTGAAGTATACGGGAACGGGGAAATTCTAAAGTGTTAGAATTTTGTGAAAGAAATCATGTGAACTTTCCTGAGCAATTCCTTTACTAGAAAATGAAAAATTATATATGGATTACTTCATCTCACTTTGTTGTAACAATTGGAATAGTTCATATGCATGAATGTTAAAGAATGCAATTTAAATCAATTGTAGTGGCTGAAGATCTATTTGACCATGGTTGTTATTCGGTGATTAATTCCAATATATGGGCTATCACATTTGCTTGGATGATATATCCACTTGAATTGCCCACATGTTTCCATAGGGCACCATTCACTGCACAGTGCATTTGTCATTATGTTGGCTTATGGACTTCGAGGTGCAAGTAAAACATATCCATATTTGTGTTTTGAGACCAGTCTATTAATATTAAATGAGTCTAAAGAACGTGCATAAATGTGGATAGATACCTATTATTTGTTGAAAGCTCGTGAAATTTCATGACTACTTATTCTATTGGAATACGAGAATCACTTGATAAACTTGATGGTTGATTTCATGTTCTATTAAAATGATGATAGCCACAAAATTAAGTGAGATGATCTTATGCAAAGTTGTGTTTGCATATAAATGTGACAAAATATGACTTTGTCCAAATGTGAATAAGGTGAACATATGCCTTATTGTTTGATATGATATAATCTTGTAGAAGTGAAAGTGCAATTCTTGTTAAACAAGAAGCATAGTCTTATTCGAGGAACCAATTGAGTTGGTTTATGCTTGGAATGGCATTATTGGTCTATGAGATGACCTTGATCAAATTGTGTGATCAAAATTAAAGATAGTTGGATTGAAGTATGTTGTGACTTAACAACTACAATCAGAAAGTAACTAAACTTTCACGAGTATTATCAAAGTGATAAGAAAAACTATAAAAGAGTTGATGAACTTTAAGTTCAATTGCAATCCCAAATGTGAGGGTTAATATATTGAGGAACTCTATGTTCGAGTATAACCCGAAATGTGGGGGTTAACATTAATCTTATGAACTTATATGATAAGTTTAAAGATATATGGATGCAATGTTACAAGATTGCATAAGAATTCCTAATTGAGGAATTATGGAGGTAACTTAGTTTAAAAAGTTATCGTATCCTTTATCTTTTAATCATAGAAATACATCTATGATGGAGAAAAGTAGTGAAGGCCTTGTAAGGATGAAACACACTAAGTCTAAAGTGGATTAAATGGGTAAAGACTGATTGTGGTGCTTGGAAAACCAATGGAATATTTAAAGAATATTCATTGAAGATTATTGTAATGATCCCATGATGATAAGTGAATGCCCGAGTATTAAAATCCACAAATAGAAGTGATTGGCTAGTGTAATGAATTAATGAAAATCATCCAACGGTATTTTAAAAATCAATAAGGCTTTAAATAAAATGAGTGAGAAGCATGTGGCTTCTTGGTGGTGACAAGTTGTATCTATCAAATGAATCGATCATTGGCTAGCTATATTTTGATAAGATACTAAGTCACATAAAATGAGAAGTAAAAACATATAAGTCTTAGAGGTGACGTCACAAGGAAATTATCAAAGGTGGAATAATTTTCGAAGAGAATTTAGCGGATCCTTTAACTAGACCATTAATTAAAACTTTAGTGGCATCTACTTCGAGTAGGATGGGGTTGAAGCTACTAATCTATAAAGGTCCACCAATGACAACAACCCTACTTGTCATTATTCAAAAGGTAATTCACGGGTTCAAAGGGTAAAAACAAGTCATTCGATATGTGGGATGGTTGCAGCATTATTGAAATTCGCATTGACCCTATCCTCAGTCAAATAATACTGGTTGTTACTGAAGTGAGGGTTGAGCATTAAAACTCTTAATGAAGTTCAGTTCTAAAAACACAAGTATCTCTAAAAGTAACAAAGGTATTGGAAGAACTTCACCTAAACAAATTTCGAGGTGGTGCCGCCTCAATTGAGAGTTGGAGTTTCTCTCTTAAAAGTTTGTTGAATAGGATGAGCGCAAAGTCTTAATAGCGCTAAGTGAGTTTTGAAGAACTTGAAAACACGTGGTATTCGAGTGTGTGTTCGAACCGGTATTGTCACATGGATACTCATACATAAGGACTATATATCTTTCGATTCTGACTATATTGTCTGGATTAACTATAGCTAGATTCAAATCGAAAGATATATAGTCCTTATGTATGAGTATCGTATGATTTGGATATGAGACTTTATTGAATTTTTAACAAGTGGGGGATTGTTGAGAATTTGTTCAAAATCAATATAGTGTTGAAGTCTGGAATGTTTAAACTAAATGGTGGAAGTGAAATATTAAAACTAAATGGTGGATGGAACCAAACGGTGGGATGAAAACGGTGGAATAAAACAATAAAAAATCAAACGGTGGCCCAAGTTCTTGGCTCAGGCCACTCATCGAAAATTGGAGGGGCTGCCTGTGATGTTCCATGTGACCGCATGGATTAATATCATGCGATCGCATGGGTAAGAAATCCGACCTTGCAATATTGTTTTTGACCGCATGGCCACTCATCGAAAATTGGAGGGGCTGCCTGAGATGTTCCATGTGACCGCATGGATTAATACCATGCGGTCGCATGGGTAAGAAATCTGACCGTTGCAATATTGTTTCTTGTCGTTGAAGGTTCAAATTTTGGTGGCTTTTCATTATGTTT